AAGCTGAGCATCACGTCATATGGTCTGGAAGATCCCTTTGGTCAGTTGGAGTCAGCTGTCCTGGCTGTGTCCCCTCCCACCTCCTTGTGCACCCCCAGCCCACTCACGGGTGGGATGAGGAGCAGAAGAGGCCTTGACTCTCTGTAAGCACTGCTCAGCAGTAATGAAAGCATCCCGGTATTATCAACACTGCAAATCCCAACACAGCCCCATGCCAGCTACTCTGAAAAACAGCAACTCTCTCCCAGCCAAACCCAGCATGTCCTGTTATCGTGACATAACGCCAGATTTCCTGCCCTGGAAGCTCATGCTTTCGTGGTTGGGAAGTGGCTTGTTTTCCGCTAGAGGTGCGAGTTCCTGGCTTGCCTCTTGCTCCGTGCTGCACAGGTGATGGCTTTTTGTGCAGTAGCTTTCTCAGATAGCAAAGCAGGTTTGGCTGGCTTGCTTGGCTCTTTTCTGGCTTTTTTTTCTTCTTCCATAGATGTTGATCTCTCCCTAGAAAAATGCTGATTTTTATTAAAATTGGAGAAGAAAATACAGAGCTACCATGTTCAACACTCCTGAATTCTGTAACTGGATACTGTCCCTTTGAAGCCCTATCCCACAGGATTTTTGCCATGTTACTGGAGAAACAGTGATTCTTCTTTATTTGGGCTTTGGGTGACAGCTCGGGGGACCCTCTTTCTTTTCCCTTGCCACCTCTTCATGAAGATGAACAGGGCTCGAATCTGATGCTGGTTTTGTCCTAATTTTTGTTGCGTGCTGTGACACCTACAAATATAGGGAGAGGGCAAATGAGGTGAGCATGAAATGGATGTATTTAAACAGAGTGCCTGCTGCTGGCACAGAAATCTGGGGAAAGGGAAAAGAGCCGGAAACCTGAGATGTGAAAAATGGCAGATCTTGTGTTTCTATTCAGAAACGCTTTCCTGGTGATGGTGGTGTGGTGGACAGGGGTTACGAAAGGTCTGTTCTTTCATGTCCTACCAGAGCTCTTGTCCTGCCCCATCTCCCACGCTACACTCTGATGGAGCGTACCTGGTCTCCGATGTGTCTCTCAATAGCTGTAGCTAAGGACCTGTTCATACAGAACCGTTTAATTACTTACACTGTGCAGTTTTACGTAGTTAAAATTTTGGCCATTTTCTTCCTCTACCCTGGCAGGACATTCTTATTCTTGTACAACTTCCTGCTTTAATTTTACACACTCGGGTGACAGAAGCCAAGCAGTTTTTTAGCCTTTTTCTCATCCAACTGAACAAAAGCCACTAATTAATATATTGCCACCTGCAGCTAATTACTGCTGCTGCCAAATAACGAGCAGAAGGAAACACAGTGGTTTAAGCTTAGATGGTGCCGGACAAGAAATTGGTCAGCAGTGCATCCCTGTGACAAGGAAAGCCAACTACATCCCGGTCTGCAAGCTGGAGTGTAGCGAGCAGATGGAGGGAAGGGATTCACCCCCTCTGTTCATCACTTAGGGGTTTAAATTGAAAGTGGTGAGGTTTAGATTAGACATCAGGAAGAAGTTCTTCACGGAGAGGGTGGTGAAGCACTGGGACAGGTTGCCCAGAGAAGCTGTGGATGCCCCCTCCCCGAAGTGTCCAAGGCCAGGCTGGATGAGGCTTGGAGCAACCTGGTCTAGTGGAAGGTGTCCCTGCCTACGGCAGCGGGGGGGACTGCATGGGCTTTAAGGTCCCTTCCAACCCAAACCGTTCTGTGATTCTATGATCACTTGCAAAGCCACTTCTGGAGTGCTGTGTCCAGCTTTGGGCTTCCCAGCATGAGAGAGACTTTAAAATACTGGAGAGAGACCACAGAGGTTGTCTGGGTCTTTATATCTCTGAGGTGTGTTGCTGATGTAACTGCAATGGTCCAAAGTTGTGCTTTAGTTTATAACAATATTTTTGTGTGGATAAGTCATTAGCTTCTGGTTACTGCTAGTTTGGTATATGGGAAAGTGCAATTTTGCATCCAGAAACAGCTAATAATACTAAGAATTATCTCCTGGCTCTTCTGAGCCATGTTTCTGCAAGAGGAGCTGTGTTGCCTTGGGCTGCAATGACTATATTCAGGGAATGGATGTTTTTGAGGAGACCTGTTATCCTTACGATACAGAAGAAGGTGGCAGCGTTTAATGTAGGGTTTTCAAACTGGTGGTTTGTGTATTGTTTGTTTACCCAATTTTAAAATGTGCATGTAGGTACTAAAGCCAAACTTAAAATGTAAAAGCTTGCCAGTATGTATGCAAAGGTGAAAGTGAAAACTAATAATACTGTTTACTTTTTTTGCTCTTGTTTTATTTTTAGGATTTCTTCTTTTATTCGCTAGTATACGATCCTCAACAAAAGACCCTACTCGCTGACAAAGGAGAGATTCGAGTCGGAAACAGATACCAGGCAGATATAACAGACTTATTGAAAGAGGGTAATTTCCATAATTTACTGAAATTGTTAAGAGGCTGTGTTGAACGTGGCCACTTTTACCTGTGCGGCCTGCCCAGGGGTGGGAGGTGGAGGTTTCCACAGCCAGGTCACGCATACGATGGCCTGGTTCGTTAGTGGCTGAAGCTGTTACCCACTGAACGCAATTAATTATGTCTCAAACCAGTCTTTAATTGGGCGTTTGTCCAAATCATAAAAGTTATTGAAACAAATTGAATTAATTGGCGCTCTCGGAGCTTGCTGGGTTTTTTTATTAAGAGATTTCAGAATTTCCACGGGTAGCACAAATTTCCACCACGTCTGTAAAGCCTTTTGGGTTTTTAATCAAGCCTCGCTTTCCTCTAAGAGCCCCTCCCAAATCACTGCCAATTAATTGCTGTCTTCCCTCATCAATTTGCCCATTATTGCTGGGTGCCTTTTCCTCGGAGCCCTCCCCCCTGGCAGTCTGTTGGCTGCCAGCCTAGTCCTCTCACCTGTGGAATGGGCAGGAGGAAGAATTTGCTGGCCTGAGCATGTTGAGACCTCAGCCTGCCTCTCCTGCATCACGGAGCGGTGGGGCCACGAGGACCTTGGCCTGAGGAAAAGGGGGTCGTAGCAGTCACTGTTACTAGTTAATAGTAACTGACTTGAGATTTGTCTTCACACTACTGTACAGATCCAGAAGTGGGTGGAAAGATGGAGAGGGATGGGGAGTATTGGCATCTGATCTCTCCTTTCTGAGACCCATGGGGAAAGGTCTGTTGGTACACTCCTTCTGGGAGAGCAGGGCCTGTGAGCCATGCTGGAAGAGCCTTCTCCAGACTGTACAGAGAGAGATGTGCAAGCAACGGTGCACTTCTGTCTTTGCTTAGGAGCTTTGCTGGTACTGGCAGCTTCATGTTAGAACCGACAAACAAGTTGGTCAGATCTCTAATTTGTCTATGAAACTGGTATTTATTCTGCAGCCAGGCAAGCCTCCGAAGTGAGGATGAACTAATTTGAAAGGCATTCTCTTCCCTCAGCGGGCCAACACGGGGCTTCAGAGAAGGGTAATCTCCAGATGTTTTAAAGGGAACAGAGGAAAAAAAAGACTTAGTAGCTCCTGTATTTTTCAGGGTATTTTGGTTTGTGTAGAGTCAGGAAAATAGAAGCAAGTGAGTCCAATGACAGTATTTCCCCCTTAGAAAGCAGCTGATGCAAGTTGAACCAGCTTCTCTTTGCCTGCTCGGAGTAGCTGGAAGCGTGTCTGTTTTCCTGGAACTGCTGCAAGATGAAGAAGAGAGAGAAGCTGGGGAGAGGGGCTGAGGAGAGACTGACTGCTTGGGAGAAGGATGTATTCTGTTTCCCATTACCTGTGTCCTTTGAAACCAGTAGTTCAAAATCTGATTGCCTGGTTCAGATAAGCTGTATTGCTGTGTCTGTCCAGCTGAAATTGTCACAGGCAGATAAGTGAATAAAATTTTCATGTGGCCTGTTAGGCCAGATGGGTTGGCAGTTAAATTATTGTGAGATTTAAAAAAATCTAGAAAGTACTATTATTTTTAAAAAAACATATTAAGCATTTTTAACTTATTTTTTGACCAGGTGAGGATGATGGAAGAGATCAGGCAAAACTTGAAACAAAAGTTTGGGAAGCCTTTAACCCGCTGGTAGACAAGCAGATAGACCAGTTCCTGGTGGTAGCACGGTAAGACCTTTTTACCCTTCCTTTGAATAAGTAAATGCTAATAACTCTTCCAAGCACTTCTTACGGTCTTTTTGCTTTACTGCTATGAATGCTGTTTTTGGTTCCTTGATTCGCTCCATTTTGAAGTGATGGATGTTTTACAGGCCTTCCTGGGAACTGCATGACTTTGGGAACAGCTATTCAGATTTACAACTTAATCACTTTCATAAAAGAAAAGCAAATGGCATGTTAAAACTCTCCTGTAATTGGGGAGGTTTTTCAAATACTTTGGCCAGCATGCAAAAGTCTTATTGAACTAAATTCCTGGCAGTTCATTACTCTGTCCTTTTTCTCCTTTTTTTCAAATCCAGTGACATTTTAACATCCATTAATAGTTTGCTAAGAAGCCTGGTAAAGTGTTTTTGGTGGAGCGTGGATGCTTTCTAACGCCTAGATTCCAGTAGGTAGGCACGATCAGGTGAAACCCTGCAAATCTGTTCAGATGGGGAAATAGGTGCTTTTATTCAAGCCCAAAGCAATCCTTGTTGATCAACTTTTGCTTTTTAAAATGGTCTTGAAGTTTTACATTGATATGCTTTTATATGAACAGAAACCTCTACTAGATTTTAGGCTCTCAGTGACTGGTGACTGTCTAATTTAAAAAAAAAAAAAAAAAGAAAAAAAACCAGGTAATACTCTCCAAATTTTGTGTCTTAGGTAAGTTTGTAGGACTGTGTGGGAGGAAAGTGGTGTGAGCAGTTGGATAGTTGCACCTTTTGATGTTTTTAGTCAGTGGAGCAATTTATCATTGGATATGGTTAGGAAAGGGGGGTGTGAAGTTACAGGCTGCTTGTAGTACCTGGTTTGCTAGTCTGGAGAGTGGTATCTCACAGACATGGACCCTGACTCGCAGGGCTGCCTGCTTCCCAGGA